CAGGTCATTAATGATTGTTTTCCATTCGACGATGCTCACCCGTTGTAGCTACCGTGTCGAAACCGATGAACCCGTAGAAACATTTGGCAGCCCCCGCGGTCACTCCAGCCCAACCGAAAGGCATGAAACYACCTTCGCCGCCTTTCGCGGTCTTCGGGATGTCTTGTTTCGGTATGTTCCAATTGTACGAGTTAACTATATAATATAGACGAAAAACTATGTTAATAGACATAGCAACACTCCATGTCGTTTTATTTATGGGTGCCTACACCGATGATGGCGGGCAATTCACGTTAAATAATTATTTTACGTTACCTACCTTTGAATAATCCGGTTATAACGACGGTGGCCACGGTCAGTAAGTTGACGACGGTAAACACGTTGTTGATCATCGTAGATTCGCGAACTCCCCATGACAGTAAGACTGCAATGTTGGACATTGGTTAAACATAATATACGTCGTGATTTAACGTGACTATTAAATAAAATATATAACACGCGGTTGTTGCAGTGGATTCGTTTTTGGAGAAATTTTCTACTCACTTGATAACAACAACACGACGCTGAACGACAAAAAGTCTGGGTACTCGGACAAAAAACTGATGTTCATCGGGAACAGATCTGTCATGGTTCTTTTCATAGGGTACTCCAACAGCGCGTCTATGTAGTTACTGAGACCTTTGGCCACGCTTGCAGTGCCTGCGACATAGCAAATTAATAGGTATAATAATATATTGAACTTCAACACGTTTCTTTGAGGCTATTCTGAGACTCTCAAACTTAAAGTGTTMGTAACGTGTATATTAACATGTAATTTAATTTCCTAAATTTCAGGACGTCCACGAAGTTTAGTATTGCATGCAATATAGCATAATTCTGTCTACTGTATGAAAATACTTCCTTTTAATAATTAAAATTTCTAACTGCGARTTGTTAGATTTAATATTATTTTCACATATATCTAATCGTTTATTTTGTGCTTATTTTTAAATATTCCCAGTATGATATAAGGTTATATGAATCAAATCGTATAAAAGGAGTTCAGTATAGACAATAATATTGTCTATGTGTTTGCGTGCTGGTCGTGTAAATGTGTGTGTAGTAAGTGATAATTAGTGTGAGTTGTTGTGTAAATTAAACGGCAAAGCAGACCAGAAAGTGTAATACATTTCGGCCTTCTAAACGAATGGTTAATTACTTTTTCTTTTTAATCAAAATTATCGATTTTCTACCGATTATATAAACTAAGCATTAATGCGATAAAATTTCAGAAAATATTTTTGAATTCCTCATGAAATTTAGTTGAACRCTACTTTTTATAGATTAATGTTTCCATTTTATAATATTTAAATTTAATGTATAACCTTATAGTGTCGTTTGAAGGAGAACTCGTTTTCGATTAAATATGCTATTGTAAATTCATAATGTTTTCTAAGTTAAACCCAATGATTAGCTATAATATTAGCAGCTRTATTATAGCTAATCATGATATCGGCATAAAATAAAGGTCTACTCTGATTTATACAGATCTATCGGTATCGGCTCACAGACTGACCTGCACATTGTATATTATTATGCATTACAAGCTCGGTTTGACTAAACTTCACTCACCGATGACGTATTCGAGTATCAGGTTCCATCCGATCACGAACGCGACGAATTCACCCACACCGACGTAACTGTAAACGTAAGCCGATCCGGCTTTTGGCACTCTCGCTGCGAATTCGGCGTAACACAGGCCTGCGAACATAACGAGATAATATTATTATGTAATAATATATTGTTAAGCTGTTGATACGTTAATAATGATATTATTTCCGGTTTGGACTAACTAGGGTGCACGCACGTCGCATAGTACACTATGTATGTAGGTACCTATAATAATAGGTACCTATAATTTAATAATTTTTCCGAAGGTGATGGTTATTGTATATATTATCAATATTATTATTGTATATTTTATACAATGTCAAGCACTTATACTAGAAAAGTTGTTTATGACGGGAAAATATCGTTTCATTGGTTTGTATAGAACGCGTTCGTTGTCAATTGGTTCCCTGTCCAATTAGTTTGATTATATAATAGGTACCTTATAATTAAGTTCGTATCGCACTTAAGATGCATTTCTGATACTTAGGTAAAATATTTTGATGTACGATAGAAAAATATCAAATACACGATGAAGTTAATTATTTATCACGGTTCTATTCATGAATAATATTATGTAATAATATATAGAGCCATGGCGGTATTTACTGTAATACGACCACGGATACCTATATGTATCTATACCTATATACAAGCCTGGGCAAGTTAATGATAATTTTTAACTGAGTTAAGTTAAGTTAATGGAAAACATTTTAAAAAGTTTAAAGTTAATAGTTAATCTAATTCTTTTTTTAACTCAGTTAAG